TACGCAGTTCCACATGCCCTCGGATTTCCACACGTGGGACCAGCTACCCGTGATGTCGGTGGGTTTCTTGCGTTCGGCGTGCCTCAAGTTTAAGGAGACAACGGCGGTCGGGTAGATGAATATATCGCCGCGGGCTTTATGGCGTGTGTCAGATGTTGGGTCGATCGTCTTGTCGAGGCTTTTTGGCAGATGCGAGTCATTGGGTGCTGGCCAGACAGACGTATATATACTACCTTAGTCAGGCTGCCCAAAGAAGGAGGAGGATCTCGATCGATTGCAGTTGTCAGCTCGTTAGCAAGGCTGTGGGCACGGGCACGCAGTATCATATCCAAGCAGTGGGTCGCCGGTACGGGGATGAGCGCAGTCTGGGACGCAGGTGGTGCTGGACGGAGCTCGACAGCCGTTGCATTTGAACACGATCTATATGCCGAGACGGCGGCGTTGATTGGGTGGCATACGGCTACTGCGGCCGTCGACGCTTGGAAGTGCTACGAATCGATGAGCCTTGGCGAGGTGTTCAACGAAGCCCGACATCATGGATTTCCGCTGCGGCTGGTTTGGATGGTGCTTGAGTACCACCGTCAGCCACGAGTACTGAAGGTTTTTGCTTCACACTTCGAGCGTTCCGTCTCATGGCATGGGCTCCTCGCGGGCGGTTCCCACTCCACCTTTCTCCTCACCTCCTCACGCTGCGCGAAGCGCGCAGGGTTAGGCTGTGTGGGGTCGTGCCAAGAGCCTTGGTAGACGACCTTACGATACAGTGGGCGGGGGAGCGGTTGGACGGGGTGGGGGTGGTGAAGAACCTGTGGAATACCCTGGCCGCGATGCAATTGGGTATTGTGCTGCAGGACTCAGCGTCGGGCAAGTCAGGATACGTTGCTGTCAGCCGCGCGGCCCGTCAAGCTTTGAGCCGCTGGGCGGGGGCAGCTCGACTCGATGTGAAACGCAACATGCGCAACCTAGGGCATGAGCTGTCGGTGCGAGATCGGAGGAGACCGATCACCAGAGCTCGACTTGCTAAGCTCAGGATCCGAATGCGTAGGACGTTCCCACTGCGTAAGGCGGTGGGGAACAAGGTTTCGAGGCTCTGGGGGGTTGGTTTGCTCCCTGAGACTAGCCACTGCGGTGCGGTGCCGGGCACCACTGACTTCGAGCTCCGCAGGCTCCGAGCTGCTGCGGGGCTTCTCGCGGGTGCCAAGGGTCGGGGGGGGTCCATTGCGGATTACTTGGCGACGCAGCCCGACCCTTGGTGCGATCCGATTTTTGAGGCTACGATTGGGTCCTCGACACACTATGCCCATGTGGTGTGGACGCAGACTTTTTCGCTCGGAGTGCCTGAGGGAGCTTGGAGGGCCTCAGCAGACAAGCGAGCAGAGACGTTCACCTGGAGGCATACGTCGGGACCCATGGCGGTCGTTTGCCTGTCTCTGACGAGGGTCGATTGGGCGATGGAGTGTTCGATTCTGGTTCGCTCTGACCTGGGGGAGGTTTTCTCGTTGCTGCATATCGACCCTCATCATATGCTGCAGCTGCTGCGAGCGGGCATTCAGAGGTGGCAGATGCGTAGGATCCAGGCCCATTTTCTTGATCTCCCTGGCGGTTGCGAGTTGCGGCCCCGCGGGATCCGAGCTTCGGTTGGGCCCGACGTGGCCGCGCTCAGGGCGGCGAAGTCAGCGGGGATAGGCAGATCCCTGTGGGCCAATTCTTGGCGGCTGAAAGACAGACTGCATGCGGCTGGGCACGTGCCCGACCCAAAGTGTAGAGGGCGCGGTGCCCCATGTGAGCCCATCGGCCACCTCCTCCTCGAGTGTCCTGCGCTGCGGGAGACGCTTCTGGAAGGGGAGGGACGCGCCGATCTCCGAGGCTCAGGTTGAAATTCGTGATGGTTTTTGACCCAGGGCCCGAGTGGGCGTCGTGGGATTTCGGACCCGCACAGTTCTGAACTCTCGGTGGGCACGCCTGTTCTCCCAGGCCCCCGCGCGCCGCCGCCCCGAGGCCCGCCCTGCCCCTGGCGGGGCGACTGGACCCCCCCCCCCCTGCCAGCGGGGCAACGTCGTTTTCACGGACGGCTCGGGGAGGCGGTCCAATCGGCTTGAAATTCGGAGCTGCGGGCGGGTTGTTGTCCAGATGTCCGACGCGGGGCCCCCGCTGCGCGCCTGCTATAGGCGGCTCGCGGGGCCATGCCAGACAGTTGGCGAAGCTGAGAGAGTGGCGATATTGCGTGCCTGGCAAAATCTGCCGTCTGTAGATGCTGTTGCCACGGACCTCCTCGGGCTGGCCCGCGAAGCTTTCGAATGGAGTTCAGTCGCCGCTGGCTCAGCAGACAAGCGCGCAGCGGTGTGGAGGCAGATCCATGCTGCGGTCGAAGCCAGGGGGGGGCGCCCTGCGGTGCACTGGTGCCCTGCCCGCAAGGACCTCGAGGATGATGCGTGTCTCGGGCCCGAGCAGGCCCCCCCGTTTTGCCGCGCCCTCGGGAATGCTTGAATTGGGCCGATTTTCTTTGGCGAAACTGGGGGGGCTCGGCCGATGCGGTCGAACGCGGGACTGCCGACTTGCATCGGCTGGCCTTGAAGGAATCCCAGGAGTCTCCAAGTATCCGGCCTGGTCTGGAGGGCGTCTCATTGAGCTGGGGCTTTGTTCGTCGGGGCCCCGTCTGAGGGGCCAGAGCTACAGCCCCCCAGCCCGAGCGGCGCGCGCCGGTTGTTTCGATCGCGGGACTTCGAGGTCACCGCCATTGGCATGGCAGGGCCAGGGGCGAGTGGAGATGTCGCGAGCGCGGCGCGTTCACCAGAACTGAGGCGGGCTTCCGCTCGCTGGCCGCTGCCGCTGCACGCTGCCGCCCATCGCCGTTCGACCTTTGGAAAGCGAGTCGCGTGTTCCAGTGTTTGGAAGTTGGTTGTGTCCGAGGGGGCTCGCGCGGCGCTGGAGGCCGCCGACAGGCTGCTCGAGGAAGCCGCCCTGGATCCCGAGGGCTCGGCGGTGGCCCCTGGGGGGCCCGTCGGGAGGGGTGTCTGGGGCGTCGGCTCCCGCCGATGCCGAGCCTGGCCTGGTGGCGGCTGTCGGTTCGGCTTCGGGTGGGGGGGGTCGGCGGCGGCGCCAGACGGGCTGGCCGCTGGGCCTGAGCCGTCGGGCGGCGGGGCTCCTGGGTTTTCCCTGGTAGAGGAAAAAGAGCTATGCATATGCACCGATTTTGGCCAGAACCATCCTGAGACCAGGATCGGTGCATACGCCCTCCTATCTTGGCCAGGAAGGCATATGCACTGATCCTGGGTCAAGGATGGGCATTGCCAGGATCGGTGCATGTGCATAGTTCTCTTCGCCCGACCTGGGGGCTCTGGGGTCGGCGTCTTGGGGTCGGGGCCCTGCGGCCCGGCCCCTTTTCCACGGCCTTGGCCATCGCATGGCCGAGGTCAATGGCGTGGCCTGCTGTCGTTCTGTGGACGCTGTGCCTGCCACGTCGGGGAGTCGGGTAAAGTGGTGGCCCTCAAGCGGCCCCCTGGACCACCCCCCGACCGTGGCGGTGCAGAAGCACCGTGTCAGAAGGATGAGGGAGGGCAAGCCACCGCGATAGTGGTTGGTGGTCAGCCCCTGTCCCGTCCCTTTCTTCTCTTCTAGCGTTTGCGTTCGGGCAACTTGGACGCACTCCTGCTAGTCTCTCTCTCTCTCTCTCTCTCCTCTTGTACCCAGGCACATCCGGGGCCAGAGAGCGGTTTTGTTGCGCATTCACTCGATCGCGTGGTAGTACCTTTACGATCGTACTTTTACTGAAGGAGGCCGCGCTTCGCGTGGCCGCGCGCGCCGCCGTCAGGAAGGGGGGAGGCCTCTCGACCTCTCCGACCCTTCCCCGGGGCCTGCTGATTCAGCTTATCCCCGCTCGGACGTCCGCATTTTCTGCCGGCGAGGGCCATCGAAGAGCATCTGGGATCACCCTGCCAAGCACTGAATGCACGAAGGTGGAACGTGCACGCGGAATGGATGGCCGAACGGTGGCAAGTCAGCCCGAGCCGCCTCTTGGAGTTTGTCTAGGGCCTGGCCGCGACCTCCGAGGGCAGCAGCTAGCGGAGGAAAGTGCTGACGCATTCTTGCGGGAAACAAGACGTCGGAGGTCTGGGGGGGAGGGGGGGGAGGAGGAGGAGGGGGAGCAGGGTGGTGCGACGCCTGCATGAGTACGAACAGAGGAAGGAGAGAGGCAGGGAGGAGGGGAGGAGGAGGAAGAGGGAAGGGGGGGCGGAGGGAGAGAGGACGGCGGGAGGAGGCGGAGGAGAAGAAGAGGGCAAGAGGGACGGTGTGAAACGAACGCGGTATCTGATTCGAATAAGGCGTCCAATTTTCCTCCTGGTGTAACTGCTCCTGCACCGATTCCGTAACACTCGCATTCGCCTCAACAGTGCGGGGCCCAGTCTTTTCTGATGGGTTTGGCGGGCTGTGCGAGGAGCGCAATGTGATCCATCGCGGTCGTGGCCCCCCCCTCTCTCTTCCTCCGCCCTCTCCCAGATGGTCCGCTGGCAGAAAAAAAGGTGGTTGAGGAGTCGAAGAAGATCAAGTTGCCTAAGCGGCACAATCTCTCGGAGGTCCCTGCGGATCGGCCACGCCTCCAGCGCCGCCACTGGCGCGCCTCGCGCGCCAGGGAGAGGGGGACCTCCGCGCCGACCCCGGGGCATCCGTTCGGATATCCAAGGCTATTGCTCTGCACCGCTGGCGAGGGGTTCGTCCCCGACGCAGGGGAGAATTTTGGCCTGCTCGAGTCTCAAAGGAGGAAAAGGGTACCCCATATTGCTGCCCGTACCTCGTGTTCCCCTTTTTGGGCCTCCTGGGAGGCTCTCGTCGCCACCGCTGGATTCGCCTCGAAGTTCTGGTCACAGCGCCTCCCGGGAGAGGTCCGGGGAGCAGCGGTATCAGTACCTTCTGGTTTCCCCCGAATCGGGACCCCCGGAGCTCGGAGGGGCATCGGCGCCGGCGCCCCCGCCCCCTCCCCACCCCTTGGCGCTGCCTGCGCGCAGGAGGAGGTCCGAATGAAGGCGACGGCGCCCAAGGCCCGCTTGCGCGAATGTGTTGCTGCTTCCTCTGCCAGCGCCGCCGCCGCCGCCGCCGCCGCCGACGGCGACGACGACGACGACGGCGGCGACGACGACGACGACGACGACGACGACGACGACGACGGCGACGACGACGACGACGGCGACGACGACGGCAACGGCGACGACGACGACGACGGCGCCGACGACGACGACGACGACGACGACGATGACACGACGAGGCGGCGTCGATGACTGCGCCTAGACCCGTCCTGGAGGCCGAGGCACCGCAACGCGGCACTCCACACCCACGGCGTGCGGGGGGCGGCGGGCACCGCGCACGACCGCCGAAGCCCAAGGGAGAGTGCTTGTGACCCGCTCCTCCTCCTCCTCCTCCCTCCTCCTCCTCCTCCTCCTCCTCCTCCTCCTCCTCCTCCTCCCTCCTCCTCCTCTCCTCCCTCCTCCTCCCTCCTCCTCCTCCTCCTCCTCCTGTTCCTCCTCCTCCTCCTCCTCCTCCTCCTCCTCCTCCTCCTCCTCCTCCTCCTCATCATCATCATCATCATCATCATCATCATCATCATCATCATCATTATCCTCTTCCTCCTCCTCCTCCTTCTCTTCCTCCTCCTCCTCCTCCAGACCAAACCGTCCAGGATCCAGCAGCCGCGTAAGGTTTCGTCGCGCGTAGGAGGTCGTTCTAGGCGTTGCTCACGCGGTTTGCCTCCAATCGTCCCCCCCTGGCGGAACATGAGCCGCTGTTTGTTCCGTGAGATCCCGACCACCACAAACCAGCGCTTGCTGAACCGCCATGCGCGTTCACCGAGGAACCCCCCATACAGCCAAGACGCTGAAATAAGGACCGCTTTGGGTTCGGAAGGGGCTCGGGGATTTGGGTCGTTTCTTAGATTTATGTCGCGGGATTTGCTTGTGGCCTAGGCCCACCGTGGCCAGTCTGGCCACGGTGGGCCCAGGCCACACCTGTGGAACGCCAAAAAGGAACAGAGGGGCTGCTCTGAGAACAGCCCCTTTGTTCCTTCTTTGGCGTTCCTTCTGGTAGCACCTCGACCGTAAGGGTGCTCACTGGGCCGCTGGTTCTGTCCGCCCTCAGTTCTTGTCCTTCTAGACGCGTCGGCGCTGCCGTGCGATCCCCCCGACGCCGCCCACTCGGTCCCCGTCCAAGGCAGGCGCGCGCCGCGCCGACGCGGTGGCGCCCCCGGCGCGGGAGCTCGATATGCGGAGCGCCGTCGGCCGAGCGCCGCCGGCCTCGAGCGATCCGCGCTGTCGTGAAGTTGTGGCTTTGCATCTGGACGCCCGAAATGGGTACTGAAAGAATGGGTACTATGCCCAACAGCGGATCTTGTTCATCTTGAACAAGATCCGCTGTCCACGCCGCCGCGGCTTGTGTCCATTCGAGACAGGAGGCCGCCCGCCCAACAGCGGCCGCTGTTGGTTTGGGACAACATTTGCTGTTGGGCATAGTACCCATTTTTTCGGTACCCATTTCGGGCGTCCAACTTGCAGGGCCGTACGGTCCGCGCGGCGCCGGAAGCCGACGGCGACGTCGTCACGGCACGGATCGGCCGCAGGGCGGCCCGACAGAGCGAAAACCCTAGAAGCCTTCAAGAACCTGAGAGAGAAGTCTGCCGGCCCTGTCGGCGCGTGCAAGAGTCCGTTCCGTTTGACTCGTCGTCGTCGTCGACGTCGTCGTGGTCGTCGTCGTCGTCGTCGTGGTCGTTGTCGTCGTCATCGGCGGCTGTGGTCGTCCCCTCCTCGCGGGCCTTCCGCTCGGGGTGGTCATGGCGGCCCTGGCCCGGCGTGCCGGGCGCTGCGCGCGAGGGGGCCCGCCGCTGCGCCGTCCGCGCGCGCGGTGGGTGCGGTGCCGCGGAGCGCCTGGAGCGGCGTGGATCGGGCCGGGCGAAAGGGGGCATACACCTTATGCGATGCTTAAGAAAACCTAAGTTTTCGGCCAGAGTCTCGATTATTCTTAACGTTTCAATGTAAATCCCAAGATTTTGATAGAAGTTCTGGGTTTTATTCAATGTCTGAGACTATGAATTTCTTAACCCATGATTTCTTAAGCATTTCGCAGGGTGTAGGGGAAAGGGGGGGTACGAAATCTGCTGCATGCAGCTGGTTTCGGCCCCACCGAGGGGCCCATTCCTCGATGCATGGGCGCCTCCCGCGCCGGGAGGTGCCGGGAAAGCCAGCTACGTGGGCTGATTCTCAACCCGATCTTGATGGACTGTGTCTCGCTGCTCTCTCTCTCTCTCTCTCTCTAGCTTCGGGGGTCCCCAAGCGGGGTGGTGACCACACCGTGTGGTGAGTCGGTGGGTATTCGAGGTCACCGCACGGTTTTGGGACTCGGGTCGTTCTCCGCGGACGTTTCGGCGCGTGAAAGAGGCTCTGTTCCGTTTGACTCGTCGTCGTCGTCGTTGTCGTCGTCGACGTCGTCGTCGTCGTCGTCGTGGTCGTTGTCGTCGTCGTCGACGGCTGTGGTCGTCCCCTCCTCGCGGGCCTTCCGCTCGGGGTGGTCATGGCGGCCCTGGCCCGGCGTGCCGGGCACTGCGCGGCGACGGACCGTGCGGCGAGGTCTTGGGGGGCTTCGAGTTCTTCGCACGGTCTGTCACCGCACCGTCTCGGGACTCCAGATCGTTTTTGGGCCTGGGTCCTGCCTGGGGCAACGTCGGGAGAGGATAGGGGCTCCGGCTCGAAGCTCGAGGCTCTCGGGTGCCTTCGTCGGTGCGAGGCGGCCTTCTTAAGAAGGCCTTCCACAGCGGCCGCGCCTCGCGGTGCCCGCAGGCACCCCGAGCGGCCGCCGGAGGCTCGAGCCGGGGCCCGAAGACCACCAGGGTCAGGGGCTTACAGTCAACCCGCATGGCACGACGCACACACACACACACATACACACACACACACGCACATTCACACACACACACACACGCACATTCACACACACACACACACACACACACACCGCGCGCAAGACGAGGTCTCCGGTACAGAACCCGCATTCCCGCGCTGCCCTACCCTTTGACCCCCCGACGCCTGCACCAGGAGAAGTGCGGCGGCCGCACACGCGACGGCCAGCGCACATCCGCGCCGACAGCCCACGACGCCTGCAGAGGCACCGCCTGCACGAGCAGCGACTTTCCAAGGTTACCCTTGCGCCCTTCCCCGCCGGCCCATCTTTTTCCCCGCGTTCGCCGGCCGCGCCCCGCTCGCAAAGTGTCGACATGGCGGGCTTCCATCAGGAGGGAAAAAAACACAGACACAATTAATCCTCGATTCCCAGGAAAATATGGGAAAATATGGGAATTGGGGGGGAAGACAAAAACCCAGAAAATATGGGAAACTATGGGGAATCTGTTTATTTGTGTGTATTTATGTGTGTGTCCTCGGGCCCCTTCATTCTCGTGCGTCCTTCTCATACGGGTGGACTGGGGGCTCAGGGGGGACGCACCGCCCACTGATCGCCGACAGGGGCCCGCGGGCCGGCCTCGCCAAGGAGCGTGCGGCTTCGCCATCCAGGGCCCATCTCGCCGATTCTAGTCAGGAGGAAAAGAAACACACAGACACAATTAATCTTCGATTCCCCAGAAAATATGGGAAAATATGGGAAGTGGGGGGGAAGACAGAAACCCAGAAAATATAGGAAAATATGGGGAATCTTTTTATTTGTGTGTATTTATTTGTGTGTCCTGGGCGCCCTTCATCTAGGTCGACGCTCGTCCACCCGAGCTGGTCCCCGTCACCGGTGGCTTTCGGGCCATAGCTCGTTCCTCCGGCGGCCGTGCGGGACGACCCAGGACACCCCTGAGCGCTCTCGGCGAGGCGCAGCTGCTGGAGAGCATCCCGAGGCTTGAGAACTTCGAGAACCAGCGAAACGCCCGAAAACCTTACACCTCAAACTTGTCGTCCCCCCTCTATCGTTCTCCCATTACCTTTGGACCAAGGCCAGCCCGTGCTGCACGATCCATGCTTCGGGAGGGACACATGCACCAATGACACGCTCTCGTTGGGAGCCCATCAGCGCGGTACACCTCCGTCGTTGTCCCAATACATGGTGTGTCTTCAGCATTGCCGCTCTGATGGCTTTTCCGCAGAAGCGTGTCATTGATATCTATCGGCCTTCAGCTCATCCCGCCACCGTGCCTGGTTTGTAGGTCAGAGGCCTCTTGAGGCCCTCTTGGCCCGTTTCGGGGCGCTCGTGGCTCCGAAGAAGTCGTGCGGGACGCGCCAGGGAACCGTGGGAGGCGCGCCATGGGCCCCAGAAAATGAAAGCCTTTGGAGTCTGGGACCCTGAATGCTCCATCTTGATGACTGCGGGTTGCGGAGTACAGGTCGGGGGAAGGAGAAGCGACACCGCTACCACGGGGGCCACCTCCAGCAAAGAGGTCCACGATGTCTCCCGGAGCCAGGGATAGTGGATGTCTCGAGCGAGATGGGCGAAGCGACATCACCAGGGGGACCTCGCTAGCTCCTCCTGCTGGCGGTGGCTGGTGGTGGTGATGCCGCTTTTCTGTGTTCCTATACAAACGACCTGAGGGCACTCCAATTCGTGCTTGTCCCGCATCGGTGCGCGGTTCTCAGGTCGCGACCCTCGTGTGCCGGCGACACATCAGTCCAATTCCATTCTGACGATAAGGGGACAGGCCACCAGGACGCCTAACTCTTTCCATGTTTACGTTGCATCGTCTGGGGACCTCGCCTGTCCGCAAAATTGATGTCTATTCTTGTGCCCGACGCGGGCTCGATGCGGACTCGACGCGGACTGGCGTGGGTCCGACGCGGATTCGACACGCATTCGACACGGATCCGACGAGGCCGACACGGACTCGACACGGATTCGACGCGGAGAGTGCCGCGACGGGACAGACAAGGTCCTCCTGAGCATCCAGCACATCCTGACGGCGACACTCCAGCTCGTGCCTCGCGGCACGCTGGCGGATTGCTTTTGCTCCCTCGTCGTTGATGTCCCTGTTTTCCACCACCACCACCTTCAGTTGGAGGGGGGGAAGCAGGAAGAGGAGGAGGAGGAAGAGAGGAAGATGAGGAGGAGGAGGAGGAGGAGGAGGAGGAGGAGGAAGAGGAGGAGGAGTAGGAGGAGTAGTAGGAGGAGGAGGAGGAGGAGGAGGAGGAGGAGGAGGAGGAGGACCCCCTCCCCCTCCAACTTATGGTGGTGGTGGTGGTGGAAGACAGGCCCATCAGTCGTTCGCTGGCCCTCGGCGCCCCTGGGGCCGCGCGCGCAGGCGGTCGCCCCACCGGCGGGGGACGTCGGCTGAGGGCGGCGCCCCGCCTGCCGCCGCCGCCCGCCCTGGCTCGTCCGCGCTTCTGCCGCCGCGCGCCACCGCCGGCATCGGCGCCCGTCGCCGTCGGCTCGTTGGCAGAGATCGTCCTCGAATGCGAAAAATTGCTTTTTCATTCAAAACAGCGGTTGCTGGATTCCAAGAATAGTTTTTTGAGTTCCAAAACCAGCTCTTTGAATCCAGAATCCCGTATTCTTAATCAAGAACCAGTTCTACTGAATTCAAAAGCCAGTTTTTGAGTTCGAAGACATGTCCGTACCTTCACGACCACCCGTCGGGTGATATGGGGGGCTCGAAGGGGAGGGAGGAGCCACCGTCTCATCCGCTCGATCTCACCATCGATCTCACTATCGATCTCGCCATCGGCCGCGGGAAACACATCCTTCTCCACGTCCTGGCGGGCCGGGTCCATGGGCCGCGACCCCGTGGAGACGAAGCGTTTTTTCGCGGATGTCCTCGCTGCCGCTGCTGCTCCTCGCCGCTGGCGTCGGCGCCCAGCGGCGCCCTCGCCTCAGCGAGGACCAAACTGCACAGCTCCAAAGCGCGAGTTATTGCGCTGCGGATGCGCAAGCTATGTGGTGCAAGCTGTGTGGCTCCACCTGTGCCGCGGCGCTGGATGCGTGGTGCAAGCTGGAGTCGGCCACGGGCGGCCGCGGCAGCGGGCGGCAAGGAGGCGCCGCCGGGCGGCCACGTGGCCAATCCTCGGCGGCCCCCCCCCCCAAGCGGCAACGAGGCGGCAACGGGCGTTGGGCGGCGATCTACAAACGGGGTGGGGGCGGGGTGCGATGGTCGAATGGGGGGGGGGGCGGCGAGGGCTGCAGGAAAGGAGCCCCTGAGAGACCCGAAAGGATCCCTTTGGGGGCCAGAAGGGGGCCTGTTGGTCCTGCCCCTCCCCCAAATCCCCCCCCCCATTACGCTTAAGTCGGGCCTGTCCCTCTACAGGAGGAATCTTCGCAAACAGTATAAACAAATAGTCCGGGGACGATTTTTATTGTTATGGCATTTTCTTTACCATTTGGGAAGTATGTTCTGCACATTTGCAAGTTGTCGCCCCAAATCGCCCTGCAAGGGGACAGGCCCGACCTCAGAGCACGCGACGGCCAAGGGCGGCCACGGACGGCAGGGCAGCGAGCCCTCGGCCCGGGCGCCCCCCGCCCCCTTCCCCGACTCCCCCCCCCCCCCTGTGCAATGGTCCCGCTTCTGACCACTGCCCTGATAGCAATCCTGAATAGATGCTATTCGCTTCTCTTCTCTGACAACGTGTTGATATCAATATAGGAAGTGTTGGGCTCGTCTCAAAGCTGGTCGTATACGATGGGGCAGTGGCTGTGCGATGCTGATCACACTATGGTGGGGAACAGGATCTGTTTGTTAGCGGGCAGTTCGCTGCTCTGCGTCTCTTGGACGCACACCAGAAATCCAGCGTCGCTGAGACGCTGCAAGGTCTTGAGCCAGAACGGTTTCGGTTGAACCTGTTCTGTTTATTAGATATGTTGCAACTTGTTGCTAGGGAAACGGAGGGCCTACTGAGCAAGGCTTGCTGAAACCCGGAGTCTTAGGAGGCCCGATTCGCCGGGAAACGTTTGGCTAACATACACGAGGCTCCTTTGGAGCCTGAAGCATATATATCACGCTCGGCCTCTATGGGCCATCTGTCGTAAGTAGGCTCTGAAGAGGCAGGCTCTGGGCTGTGAGTTGCATGCCCAAAAGCTAAAGATCGATGCTACGGCATCGAGACCTGCCTCTGGCAACTGAATCCACAGAAAGCACAGAGCGCGTGAGCGGCTTCATCATGCCCCACAGGGCTGCATCTCCAGCAGGGCTCTCCTGCTCGTCGGGGTTGTCGCGGGCGTAGTGGATTAGGGCCTCCAGCATGGCATCCTCGTTGTCGTCCGAGATCGGCTTGCCATGGTCGAGCTTGTCCAAGCCCTCGGTCTTGCGCTTCCGGGCACTGCGGTGAAGGGGGTCGTCCACGAGTCTCCAGCGTTGGCCTGATCTGAAGAACTCCAGCAAGACCTTGGCGGCACGATCCTTGGTCAACCCGTCGGCTAACATGGCGTCGCTGTGTACCCAGCGTATCTGGAGGGCCGTCTGCTCCTTCTGCTGTCGAATGCCCAGGCACTCGATGCTCGTCCGCTTGTCACGTAGGCCGAGACCAGCTGATTCACTCTTCTCGATCGCGTCGTAGCCCGAGTTACCGTCTGTGACCAGTACGCCAGGGCAGGATGATATTGCGTCGTTCACGTGCTGCTTGTTGGTGTAGTCCACTTGACCGCACTCCAGCTCGTAGATAAAGAGTCGCTCGTAACTGATCTCGTCCAGGGTCTCAGTCATCATCTAGACCTCCGCACTCGTACTGCTTCTGGCCACTCTTGGTAGCTTGCATGATCTCCAAGAGATAGGCGCAACTGTCTCTGTCGAGCCACTCAGGAAGGACAGGGGGGCCAGAACAACGATTTCTCCGCCTTGGGATTCGCCGGTGATTCGGGCGGCCCAGGCTGCATCGCCCCAGCCAACCACGGCAATCTGCTCAATGGCCAGAATGAGCATGACCACGTCGGCGGTGTCATTCATGGTGCGGATTAGCTTGTTGATCTTCTGGATGGTTGAGACCGTGGCCGTAGGTATCTCCGCTTGAAGTAGAGAGACTTCTGCGCTGAGCCACGGGGCCGACTGCTGAGCTCGCCATCCGACCGTACCAAGTCGGCCTCGTAGGTCCGATCTCTCCTTGTCTGAAACTCCTTTTGTGGGTTTCCGTCCACGTCGTATCTCGATGGGCTCCACGTTCAGGCTGTAGTTGTCCTGTGCGAGGCTGCAGGTGTAATCCTCGTTCTGTCGAGTGCTGATGCCGCACTCCACGAACGCTCGGCTCTCCCAGGGTGTCCATCCGAACGCTTGTTGAATCTCCTGACGCTTCTTGAGAAAGGCCGAGTTGTTGTGATCGCCGGCAATCATCATATCGTCGACGTGTAGGATGACCATGCCAACCATCTTGTTGCCGTCTCAGATGACCCAGACGCAATGCTCGCACTGCACGTTCTCCAGCTTCAGCGTCCTGAGCGTGTCTTTGACATGGAGCCACCACTTGCGAGGAGCATGTACGAATCCGTACATAGGCTTGAGGATCTGTAGTACATCATCATCTTTCATTCCGAAGGCCTGACGAACATCTTTCGGCGGGTCGGCGTAGATCTCCCTCTTCTCCTCGTCAGTCTTGCCCTGGAGGAAGGCTGTCACTGCGTCTGCCTTCTCTTGCTTCCACTTGTGTCTTGCTGCCATGGCCAGTAGAAGTTGTCGTGCACGTCTTGAGGCAACTGGTGATTCTGTCCGTAGGTGTAGTAGATCGGGGTCGCTGAAGCCAAGCACGACCAAACTGGCCTTGCCTCGGAGCACGTTGCCCTGCTCGTCCTTCTTCCAGGTCAGCACGAAGCGGCAACGCAGCAGGCGCGCCGGGTCGACCCCTTGCGGCTGAGGATCCTGACAGCCTTCGTGCTGAGGACGGAGGTGCACTCCTTCTGCTGGGCCTCAAGTAGCAGCTTCTTTTCCTCGGGCGTCGCCTTCTTGAAGGAAACCTCCACTCGGCCCTTCCGGGCCTGTGATGCCACGAAATTGCTGGGATCGTCCATGTAGGCCATGAACGCGTGCTCGTTGCTGACGGGGATGTCCAGCACGATGAGCTCGTCGTCCTCCTTTGTCTCTTCGTACTGCTGGACGCTGTAGGCATAGTCCCAGTAGAAGTTGCCCTCGTGCAGGTTGTAGGAGAAGGCCCCCTGGGTCGCGACGTTGATCCGCGGCTTCTCGGCAGGTGGCTCGGTCGAGCCAGGCGACCGCAGCCGGCGCTTATCGTTCACGTCGGGCGCCGTAGTCTCGTCGAAGTCGTCGTCCGTGTCCACCGCAATGGGTTGCTGAGACGGACGCTCCGCTTGGTCGTCGTCGGGAGGGGCCTCCATGACGATCTCCTCTTCTGCAGGTAGCTCGGCTTCCTCTTGGTGTCCAGCTTCGTGGCCTCCCTCTTGTGGAATGCCTGGTGGTGCCTCTGGCTGTACTGGCTGTATAAGAGGGTCTTGGACCTCGGCCGCCTCGGTCCAGGGATTGCCCTTCTTCCGAAGGCGCCTTGGAGGTCGCGGTCCGGGAAGAGGTCGCTCTTCCAGTCCTGGGGGTGCTTCGATGGCCCCACCACCTCCGCAGCCTCCTCCTGGGCCCAAACTCCGAGGATCTCCTCGTGGCACGGGTAGCTCCTCGTCTTCAGGAATGGCCCAGGGTCCGCTCGCGTTGCCCTCGAAGGTGCGAGCGCTGACAGACTCGCCGTCGTCAGCGGCAAGGTCCTCGCCAGTAGGCGGGGACTCGTTCGAAAGGTCGATCACCTCGTTCTGGTCGAGCAGCTGCTGGACGTCGCCGAAGGTCCATGTCCCCAGCTGCTCGCGACGCGAGCGTAGAGAGTCCATCGCCTCTTCGGAGGGCGTAGCAGTTCGAAGCTGTTCTGGGGCAACTCGATAGAGACGTCCAGCCAGTGTGATGTTGACCACTGTCCCAGGTAGACCAGGTCGATGTCCCGAGCTCGATGGCTTGCGGCAGAGTACTCGTCCAGGTCCGTACCAGCGGCCTCGCCCAGGCATGGAGCGAGGTTGGCCTTTCTTGATCCAGGCTCCTGGTGTGAGCCTCCTGTAGACGAAGACCAGGTCGCCCGTCTCGTACCTTTTGAAGGACCTGAAGCGCGCGGCCTCCGCCCGTTTGACTCGGTCGGAGTTCTCGGTCAGGATGTGAGCCAGCCGCGCCATCCGTCGAACTTGGGCGTCCCTGCTGAAGGTGCGCCATCCTGCAGCTCGGCGCTGATGAGGGGCAGGTTGTTCGGCTCGTCGGACAGGTGAACCGTGGTCCCCGTCGGGGTCCGTCCGGCATAGCGCTGCAGCGGGCTGAATCCGTCAATCCTGATCAGGTCGTTCCTGGCAGCTGTCTGGAGTCCAATCATCTCGCTGGTAGGTACTTCAGCTGAGACCATCTCGTCGAAAGCGTCGAGGGCCTCCTTGAAGGCTTCGATCGCGCGCTCAATCTTGCCGATCTGCCAGTGGGCGTCGGCCGCGCATGGAAGACAGTAGACTCCCTGGCTCTCGATCCACTCGCGGAACTCGTTAGAGATGGCGCTGCCAGCGGGATCGTAGCGCATGACCTTCGGACGCCCCATCCAGGGAAACCACTTTGTCGCAAAGATATGTCGAAGGTCGCCGGCACGAACTTGTCGGGTCGTGCCCGGGATCTCCTTCTCGTCGATCAGTCGCACGTAGAGGATGTCTGAGCCGGCGTCGAGGATCGCCAGCGCCATCACGTTCGTCTTCTTGCTGCGACGGATCCATGAGAAGGCGTCGAAGAGAACCTCGTGACCGTTCTGCGGCTGCTCTGCTGATGAGGCTGGTGGCCGCTTCGTCGGTGGTCGGTGCGCGTCGCAGATGTCGCACTTGAATGTCCTGGCCAGTCGTAGTACCTCTGGGCGAGCACCACGGTCGCGAAGGTATCGTAGTAGATGAGCTCGAGGTAGATGTCCAAGGTTGGTGTGCACCAGCCTGATGTAGCTCTCGATATTATTGATCGTCTCTTTGGTGAGGTCGTGAGTCTCCTTGCCGTCTTGAGGTGGAATCGACGGCTCATCCTCCAAGCGTAGGCTCCGTCGGCGGCTGCTGGGTAGCTGCCATGCAGAGGCACTTCACAACCTCGTCCTCCAAATTGTTATGATTCTGGCTCTTAGTCAGAGCTCGGAGGATCCGGCGGCACAGCATCTTGGGGTAGTAGCCCGAAGCTTCAGTCCTCAGGCTGCTCTCAAGCTCCTCGTGGTAGTGTCCTCCACGGCATTGGAGCGGCTGTAGGGCCACCCAGATCCTCTTGTCGTTCGTCAGAAACTTTCAGCGCGCTTCTTCATGAGCTCACCTGTGTCGGGAGCTCTTAGTCCGCAGGCGCAGCCGTCCACGACCACCTCGTAGGGGAGTATCTTGTGGAGGTCCTTCCAGCAGGTCTTTTGCCACGACCGACTGTTGCGTGGCTGCTCGGCGAGGGCCGAGCCGTTCAGGTTGAGCACCTGGTGCTCTATGAGCCTCTTGTTGTTCTCGAAGATCCGCTGGCCCTTGAGGCGCTTCCTGCGAAGGTTCTCCCTTTGCCTGTCATCGCGCTGGTTGACGTTCTGCATGATCGACCAGAGCCCGCAGGGTGGAGTGCTGACGAAGAGCTCGGGGCGCTTCTCGTCCAGCAAGAACTTCGCCTTGTGGTAACCCTGCGGCTTGCTGAGGTCGTTCTCGTTGAACAGGCCGAGACGCTCGTAGTGGTAGCCCTTCTCGTCGCACACCTTCCCGAGGTTGGAGTCCTCGTGGGTGCACGCTTCGACCATCGTCAGGCGGCCGAAGGTCGTGAGGGCGCACATAGCTCCGAAGATGGCCGATCTCGTCATGTGAGTCGCTGCACGGATCGCCTGACGCTGATGACCTTTCAGCGGCCGGCTCTCGTCACTGCGCCAGCGCGACCTCTCGGCCTGAACCTCACTCAGGCCCTCGTCCTGGCAGCGCATGCCTGGTGGCACCACCCGTAGGGCTTCACCTTCACGATCGGCTCGTTCTTCGCGATGCCTCGGCATAGCTTGCAGTCTGGGCGCTGGCACATCTGCGTGTAGTGAGCTGGAATCGCCGGGCCCACGGTCATAGGCCCCTTCTCCGTCTTCTTCGTCTCGGTCTCCACTTTGATCCTGATCGTCGTTGCCGCCGAGCCGCGCTGCTCGATGATGCACGCTATGATCTGGTCGACCACCTCCTCCTTCTTGCCCGACTGGGTCAACCCCCGCATCTTGCACAGGGGCCTGAGGTGGTTGCCCAGCGTGACCATGCTGAGCAGCTCGTGGATCTGTTCTGAGCTCAGCGCTACAAACGCACTCACCTCCGCAAACTTGGTCAAGAAATCGGACTTTGCGGTCTCGATGGTGGCCCGCAGCTCTTGGTTCTGCTCGCGCGCGGCCGCGGCTGTCGACTGCTGGGGGCGTTGCTTCGCCTTCGTGCTCGGCGGACACTGCTCGATCTTCGCACGGTGCTCGAGGTCCGTCGGCCAGGTCGGGTACTTCTCGGGTAGCAGCTGCACAGGCAGGCCGAGACTGTCCAGCTTCCAGTTCACGTGGTCGATCGTCTTGAGGAAGACCTTTTGGATGACCCGCCCCCAGCGGCGGCACTGTGTCCACTGCCAAAGGAGCTTGCTGGACCACATCTCCCAATTCGGCAGGTGCTCCAGTGGGAAGATGTCCGTCATCCGCTTCTTGCTGTTGTCCAGCTCCGAGCCCTCGAACGTGTACAAGGTGTTGCCCTTCGTGTCCTGGTGAGCGATCAGTTGCCCCTGCGGCAATATCCGTTGTAGCGTGGGCCTCGTCGACGTCGGTGAGCGGCACGTCGCCGATGCTCCCGAATCCTTCAGAGGCACTCGAACGTCCACCTGCTCCCAGGGGCCGTCCATCTCCTCGTTCTCCAGCTTCACTTGCTGGCTCTCTGCTTTGCGGTATTTCGTCTCGCGGTTGAGGCCCATGAGAATATGGAAGGCAATCTGGTTGCCGAAATCTGAGCTCTGAGCTCGGATCGTTCGCAGTTCAAATGGCTCTGGAGAGCGGTGGCGTTTCCGTTTGGAGCGCTGGGAAGTCGGGGATCCTTGGGAAAGCCTCTGAGGGTGACCCTGATGATGTCATAGCTGAGGCCGTAGGGGCCGATACAGATGATGCCCCAGACGTTTTGGTTGATAATGTCCCCGAAGGCGTAGGTGATGGTGCTATCCCTGTAAGCGTAAAGGATGATGGTGTCCCCGTAGGCGTAGGTAATAATGATGTCCCCGTGCTCGTAAGTGCTGATGAGGTGCTTGAGGCCTGCAGGGCTCCATGATCTGGGGCCTCGTCGGGGACCTTATGGGGCGCAGATGCAGGTGGTTCGTCAATATTGCTTCCGATCGGCTGCTCGTTTTCACGTCTTCCCTCCGGCACCGTAGCAGTCTCGGGTGTCGAGGGCGTGGACCCCTACTCGAGGGGTGCCACGAAGCCAAAATCGGCTTGCTGAACCAATGGCAGCGCAAGGTGACCGCTCGGAAGGACGAGCAGCTCAGCCCGACGTCCGAGCTTCTTGAAGTAAACAGAATGTCCCTCGCAGTCGATCGCAGCTCCCAGGCGGCTCAGAACATCCACTCCGATCAAGAGCGGGGCATCTGCGTCGAGGATGTTAATCTCGAGCTCGCCGTCCACACCAGCAATCTTGAGAGGAAAGGTAGCCTTGCCGGTGCAGGTCTTGGAGTTGCCGTCGCCAAATATAAACGCACTCTTCTGGCTAACGTCACTCTTGATGTTCTGGCCCGTCTGCTCGCAAATGATGTCGCGTAGGTTCTCGGCGGCCTCTATGCCCATGATGCTGGAGGTCGCGCCGATTCCCAGGATTCCGAAACCCTTGGAGGAGCTCTGCTTCACACTCATGAGGATCCAGTCGTCGAGCTTCTCCAGTGTAGGACAGCTCGGCAGCTTGACGCGTTGAACTCGCTCTCGCATCTCGATGGACTTCTCCACCTGAAGATACTGGGTCTTGTCGAGCTGCCTCCCCTTCCGCTTCGGCTTGTTCTTGATCACCGGCTTGGGGGGCATCGCAGTCTCCAGCTCGATGCGGGTCGTCTCGTTCGCAATGAGGTTGGCCTCCATCTCGGCGTCCTGCTCGGCGCCGAAGAAGACGAAAGCTCCAAAACCTCGCTTTGGGCGTTCACGATCTCCTTTGCTGCCGGCCGATGAAGCGCGATCTCGATGATCCTTCGTCTCGCGATTGCCTCCGCACTTCAGACGTGGCCCCTTTTCGGGGCAGCCGACCTTGGGAGCGATCTCCATCTCGTCGAGGCGGTCCGTCACGTCGCTGTCCGCTCCCTCGGCCTCGTCCTTTACTCGACGATTCAGAGCCTCGGGATCCAGCCCGGGGCCCTTGAAACTTGCGCTGTCCTCCGCGACCTTCTCGCTTCTTATTCTCATCCACGGGGTAGAACTCCTTGCTGTCTTGACTCGTCGAAGGAGGTCTCTGGCTTCCTCGAAGCTGCGCTGCTGGGCGGCGAATGCGGTCTCAGCGTCCTCGATCTCCTGGGCGCTGTAGAGCGGCTCCTCGGGATCTCCTTCGTCCTCGTCGCCGTCGCCATCCTCGTAGGAGACCTCCGACTACTCTCCGTCGTAGTAGCTGTAGTCGTCGTCGTCCTCGATGTTCTCCTCCCAGCCGGCGTGGATTCGACCTCGCTCTCGATGACGATGGTTGTCCTTGCTATGCTTCTTGTCGCGATGTGTCAACTCATCGTCGGGCCAAGATACTCGCAGCTGCTCTCCGATGCTGTCGTAGTCGAAGTTGCCTTTGACTGCGCTGATCGCTGCTGCACGCTCGGTCTGGGACAATCTTGATCTCTGCAGCAGTAGCCATCCGCGCAGTTGGTCCAGAGGAATCGCCTGATTGAAGTCGGTACCGAAATCTGGATGCTCGGGGATCTCCTCTAGGCCGTTGCTGACAAAACTCCAGAGGCGCCAGTTGAGGTCCTTCGCTTCTTCTGCAGCATCCTCTGGGCCCTCATGCTCGATCTTGTAAAGAAACCACTTCAGCTCACCGTAGAGGGTGATCCACAACTTTGATCTCTCGGAGAGTCGGGCCGTACGCTGCTTCTTGGAATACTCGGTGTCAAGCCCTTTCACAACGTCGTGATAGGCCTCGTCGTCTCTGCTACTATAACTCGGCATCGTCTCTCCTGTATCTCTGCGTAAGTCGAAGATCCATCTCCCTAGATACTTGCCTGCATCCTGGATGGGCTGAGCTCCGAGCTTCGCTCGAACGTGTCGTAGTAGCTCTGCAGCTCCATCATCTTTCTCGATGATGTCCCAGTCCATGTCCTTAGCTGCCTGTCGGGCTCTGCCTTCTAGTCGGCTCCATAGACGTGGGCCGCACACGTATCTCTCATTTCGCCTCGCCTCTCGGATGTAGGCCTTGACGTCTCTCTCATAATCGTCCACCGTGGTGAGATCTCCATTCCACTTGGGGATAATGTCATCGGCGCCGTTGTTTTTAGTCATGGCTCACACGATGAAACTTGATGTCCGTGAATCTGTCGTCCGTGGAGCTTGATAGCTCCGCTATTGCCCTGATAGCAATCCTGAATAGATGCTATTCTCTTCTCTTCTCTGACAACGTGTTGATATCAATATAGGAAGTGTTGGGCTCGTCTCAAAACTGGTCGTATACGATGGGGCAGTGGCTGTGCGATGCTGATCACACTATGGTGGGGAACAGGATCTGTCTGTTAGCGGGCAGTTCGCTGCTCTGCGTCTCTTGGACGCACACCAGAAATCCAGCGTCGCTGAGACGCTGCAAGGTCTCGAGCCAGAACGGTTTCGGTTGAACCTGTTCTGTTTATCATATATGTTGCAATTTGTTGCTAGGGAAACGGAGGGCCTACTGAGCAAGGCTTGCTGAAACCTGGAGTCTTAGGGGGCCCGATTCGCCTGGAAACGCTTGGCTAACATACACGAGGCTCTTTTGGAGTCTGAAGCATATATATATATATATATCACGCTCGGCCTCCATGGGCCATCTGTCGTAAGTAGGCTCTGAAGAGGCAGGCTCTGGGCTGTGAATTGCACCCTGGGGGCGTCGGGGCTCCGAGTCCAAGGGCGGCAAGCGGAAGGCTGCCGCAGAGGAACGGCGCTGACAGATTCGACCTGGGCATCTTCAGGGGGGCTTCGTGTTGGCGGACCCCCATTGGTCTCGCCCTGAGGCCCCGCCCCCTTTTCCCCCTTCCCTCCGCCTGTAATTAATGCTCTGCGCGGCCCGCTTCGCTTCGACCAGAAAAAGTGCGCTCTCGACCCGCGGATCAAAACCATGTTGGCGGACCCCCCCCGCGCAGCAGCGCGGCGGTGCCGCGCCGGACCCGCCCAGTGCACGAGGCGGCCACGGGGGCCGGCCCGTGGCCTTTCCCGTCGCCGCCGACTTGTGGGGTTTCCGCCGAGGTTTCGCCGCGTCGCTCGGGCGAAGAGAACTATGCACATGCACCGATCCTGGCAAGGCCCATTTTTGACCCAGGATCGGTGCATATGCCTTCCTGGCCAAGGCAGGAGGGCGTATGCACCGATCCTGGGCTCAGGATGGGCCTGGCCAGAATCGGTGTATGTGCATAGTTCTTTTTCCTCTAGTCGCCGCCCGTGCGCCACCTCGCTGCTGCCCACTTGGGGGGTCCGCCCACCGAGGATTCGCCGCATCGCCGCCTCGCTACCGCGCAACTCGGGCCAGACGAGAGGGGGGGATTGGGAAAGGGGGGGTTACGAGATCTGCTGCATGCAGCTGGTTTCGGCCCCACCGAGGGGCCCATTCCTCGATGCATAGTCGCCTCCGGCGCCGGGAGGCGAGGGGAAAACCAGCTACGCGAGCTGATTCTCAAGCCCCCCTTTGCTATCCCCCCCTTTCGCCCGATCCGAGCAACCACAGAATTTGCTTACGCCACATATCTTGCACCACATAGATTGCACTACAGATCTTACAGTACACAGCTGACACAACATAGCTTACACAACAGTGCAGTGGCTTACTGGTTGGGTTCCGCGCTTGGTCACATTGTTTGTGACGTTTTTCCTTCCTCTACTCGTCCTCGTCGTCGTTTTGGCCGTCGACGTCGGCGCTCTCGCCGGTCGTCACCGTCGTCGTCTGTCGCCGTCGTCCTCGCCATCGGCGTCTCGACAGCTGTCGTTGCTGGCGGCATCGTCGTTGTCGCAGTCATCGCCGTGGTCGCCATCGTCCTCCTCTTCGTTCTTTCCCGACTCGCTGTCGATATCGTCGTCGTCGTCGTGAGTCAGCCCGCTTGTGGAGCCAAGCCCGCAGTCCCTCTCCGCGGCCGCCTTCTTCTTCCCCCGCCTCCTCTGTGCTCGTTCGCCGCTTCGCAAGCCGACCCAGGCCCGCCCGCGCTGGGCAATCCCCAGCGCCTCGACAGAGAGCTAGCTGTGGAGCCTGTCTTCGAGACCCGTCGGGGCATCTTCGGGCTTTCCCGCGCCATCGTAGGGTCGTGTTGACTGGGCCCTGCGCGGACCTCCGGTGTCCTCGGTTGGCAGTGTTTGAGCGCACATCGGCGGCCGAACACATATTAGCAGCATCGCTATCACTACCTGCATCACTCCACAAAGCGTTAGCCAATCTATTTACGTGGTGCACTTTAGAGGAGCGGGGTATTTGTGCGGTGCGATCTCTGTGAAGCAGTCTAGGTGGTGCAATCTATGTGGAGCGATAGGTGTGGTGCAGTCTATGCGGTGTATTGTATTTGTGCCGTCTGCGTTGTGCAATAGATGTTATGCAATCTACGATGTGCAATATATGCGATGTAACCTATGTGAAGCTATCTGTGTGTGGCAATCTAAGTGGTGCAAATCGCCCATGCTCGCAGTGAGTTGCCAACTCCACTGCTCGCGCAATCATCCCGCCCACCCACCCGCAACTCGGTTTGGAAAACCCATGCAAGGGCGATTACGAGGATTGCTTGGCGTTGGCTGGTGCATCTTCGAGGCCGCGCTAGCCCGAGCATGCTCACGGACCAGCTAGTGCGGCTCGACTGTCGCGGCCGCGGTGGCGCTGACCGCTTGGTTTTTCCGGCGGGTCTGCCAGTGCGAGTCGGTGACATGGGCGGGCGCGGTATTAGGCGACACCGATAACGGTAAGCACGATGATGAGAGCAGCGATGATGGTGACGATGGTAGCGATGACGACGGCAAGGCCAATGACAGCGCCGCTGCTGACCACGCCCGCCGATAACGAAGACGATGTCCTCGCGTCGGTGATGAAGGTTCTGGCAGGAGTTCGGCATGAGCGGGCGGCCGACGCGCGCGAGTGGCCCGCGTGGTATTATTTGGCACGGATCGTGCACCCCCAGCACGCGCGCAAAGGGCGGCCGGATGAGTTCGACATGCGGGGCGAGAGGCCCGTTTAGCAGGATTGACGAAGTTGGAAAACCATGGTTCTCGTAAGTCTTCGCAAGGGCGCACGCGCATGCTTTGTTGAACGCTTCTGTTGCAGAACCATGCGGTTTCATATGTTTTCGGGACGCGCTTTTTTCTTCGCGGCACTTATTTCTTGTTGACAGATTTCGGCGCACGCGCGCGCGACGACGTGGGCGTGCGCACTTCGATTTGTTGTTGCAGAAGGGTTCTTGCGACAGTACGCGCGCACTGTGCGTTCGAACGATTTCGACCCGCGCGCGCGCGAGAGGCCCGCTTGGTAGCATGTTGTGGACATGTTGGCAAACCTATGTTTTCTACAAACCTATGTTTCTATTCAAGAAATCTGCAACCTCGCGAACGCATGTTTCTGTTGCTTAGCAGTCGTTGTTGCGAAACCATGTGTTTGTTTCATGTTTTGTAGCATGTAATTCTAAGATCCGTACGACAACTCATGTTTTTGGTTGAAGAAATGCGGCGTGCGCGCCACGACGCGCACGTGTGCACTACGTGTCACTTGTGTTGGCAAGGGGCTTTCGAGACACAATCTTATTTTTTGTGATAAGCGAATGCGCGCGCATAGTATCTGTTACATAGGATGTGTGTGGTGGGGGGGTACCGGTTCAACTGGGACGATATGAGTTCATATTTGGGATGGGCGATGAGGCAGTTTCGTATGTAAGTTGCACATCCACAGGGGGGCGATCCGTCGGGGGGGAGTAGATTCTGATATTCTTCTTACAAGGAGAGTCTATGTGGTGCAATGTTTGTGGTGCGCTATGTGTGGCGCAATCTACGATGCGCATCATGTATCTAATGGCCTTTGGTCCATCCCGCCACCGTGCCTGGGTTGTGGGTGCGAATCATATTGGATGTTCGTTGGGATCTCGTGGGAGGCCTCTCGGGGGCCTCTTGAAAACAGTTTTGAAGCCTCTTGGGGACCGTTTGGGTGCCTTTAGGAGCTTCTTTTGGGTCTGTTTGGGGGCCTCCTGGGGCCTCTTGGGGACCTCTTGGGGGCGTTTTGGGGCCCCTTGGGCGCCTCTTAGGGCCTCCTGTTGGCCATTTGGAGCGGAAGGCTCGGATTTTCTGTTCGTGTTCCGTTTTGGGCCGTTTTTGGACCCGCTTGGGCCGTCTTGGGCGCTTTTTGGGCCGTCGTGAGGCGCTCTTAGGCCATCTTGGAGGCCTCTTGGGCAGTCTTGGGATGGTCTGGGGGGCCTCTTGGGCCGTCTTGGAGCGCCGGGCAGCCGAAATGGCGAGAACGCCACAATCCTGCAAAAACCTTGGGACAATCAATGGTTTTTGTCTGTTGGTGCCCTCTTGGGGGCCTCTTGGGGCGTCTTGGAGGCCTCTGGGCCGGCTTGGGCCCATCTTGGGCGTCTTAGAGCGATCATTGGGCGTCTCGGGGCCCTCTTGGGCCGTCTTGCGACCCTCTTGGGCCTCAAAACGATCACGCGAGAAGACGCCGGGATCCCCAGGGGCCATGCGACAAGCCCTAGCGGATATGGCAATTTCGGCCCCAGGCCTTTTAAGATCCCTCAAGAGTGAGGACTGAGGCTCAGGGGACTGGACAAAGGACCTGAGGACACGTTCTCTCCGTGCCCAGCGGCACGGTGGCGGATGTTGCGCAATATATGTGGTACAATCCATGCTGTGCAACATATGCAAAACGATATAATCATGTAGTGCACGCTACGTTGCGCAATATGTGTGATGCAGTCTATGTGTGGCAATCCATCTTCTGAGCGATCAAGAGGCGCGCCGCAGGCGCGACTGTTTGTTCGTGCAACCTAGTGATGCAATCCATCGGCGGCGACGAGGCGGCGACGGGGCGGCGACGGCGGTAACATAGCCGCCAGACCAGACGAATGGCGGCGGCGGGGTGGCGACGGCGACAACATAGCCGCAAGACTGGCCACACGGCCCAGACGACGGGCGGCGACGGGGCGGCGACGGCGACAACATAGCCGCCAGACCGGCCACACGGCCCAGTTGCTTAGAAGATAAGTAAGAATGCAAGCGCTGTTTGGGGAACATCGACTATAGTCATCGGCAACACCACCACCGTCATCACCACCATCGCATCATTGTCCCATTCGTCCACAGCCAGTGACATTGCCGTCGTCACCACCGTGGCGATCACCGTCGTTTCCAGAGTCGCCGTTAGCACCTCGACGCAGGTCTGCTCTTCGTCTTTCCCCTCGCTGCCGCTGTACTTGGGCGGCCCCCAGGCGTTCTTGGCGGTTCTCCGCCAGGACCCTGCCGCGGGGAATCCCCACTCCTCAGGGGCAACGCTAGCAGGGAATAGCCTCAGGGGGGACGCCGCGGCTCCCAATCGCCCAGTCATCGCTTCTAGCCGCATCGCGCCCAAGGGCGAGCGGCTCCGCTATCGGGGGCATGCCGCCGATGTACCAGCGATACATCGCTGATTCCCAGGACGTCGTTCCCCCCCTTGAGCGTGTCCTCGCCTACGGGGAAGCTGGACACACACACACACACACACACACACGACGTACACGGCCTGGGCGAGAGCTGGATACACAGGTGGCCAGATATTTTTCCGGCGCTCGGCCCTTCATGGCCGTGTAGGTTAGGCTCCCGCATCTGTACCCAGCTGGTGGCCTCCAGATGTTCCACGTGAGAGGCCCTGTGTGCTTCCAGCTTCTTGATGTCCTTCCCCCCTCGTCCACACAAGAAGTGTCGAAGTGTCCCGGCTTGCCGATAGGCCCACCAAAGAATGCCCCACGAACCCTTTGTGGCTTGCGCGAATTGTTCTCATAACGTTTTTGGTTGAGGCTGTTCTAAGAACGTTGTTTAGTCTTTTGAACATGCTGTCGTTCTAAGAAAGCATTTTGTGGCCGGCCTAGAGGAATGCCGGGACGGTCGGCCCCTGGTCAATCCACGCCGCGACCCTTGTTGAAAGTCTGATGCCCCCGATCCGCGGGCGCCAGGAGAGCCCTTGCCGGCCTCCGCGCGGCAGCCGGGCTCTCTTCTCTGGCCGCTGCTGCGGCCGCGGGCCGCCAAAGCCCGAGCGCGCGCGGGCGTTGTGCGCCCGTGGCGCTCGCTGCGGCAGCGCGCAGACAGGTACGGCCGCTGCCAGGTGCCCTGTGGGAAACATGTCCATCTCTCGTGGGCGACAAACATATTCCCAGACATGATCGCGTCGTGACAAAAATCAGGATGGGAGGTTTTTGGGTATTTTCGGCCCCAGGGGGCCCTCGCCGGGCCTCGGGACCGTCAAAAAACGACTCAGGACGAAAAGCTGGTCCCGGGGAAAGGTTCGGGACTTTCGGGGGCGCCGTCCTGAAAACATCAGAACATCGCATGTCTGGGTTCGTAACCGCGGCCTCGCGGGTTGGGCCCCTGGGCCGCGACCCCGCGGATTATGTGCGTCGTTTTTTTCGCGGATGCCCCGCGCGGAACGCATCCGTGCGACCGCGCATCCGCGGGATCGCGCCCCGGAGTCCAGACCGCGAGGGCGCGAATACGGATATGTACGTCGCTCGTGAATCCCTGCTCCTTTCGGCGACGGACGCTCGAGGCAGCGCCGACGCATCTGCGGAACGAGTGTCAAGGCCTCCCAGATGGGGTCCGAAGAACTGGGGTCGGGGGATCGCGCCACATCGCAGATGCATCGCTAATGCGGCTCGATGTGGAGCCCCGATCTGCTTCACGTCGATGTCGCCGATGCATCGCCGACGTCGACGATGCATCGCCGGTGATGCACCGATGCATCGCCGGTGATGCACCGATGCATCGCCGATGTAATTATCGGCGATGCGGCGCGATCCTCCGACCCCATCTGCTCCGACCCAATCTAGGAAGCCTCTAACGACGCTGTCCTCGTCGGGCCTCCCCGAGGCGCGGCGGAGAGCTCCGTCGCGGTCCACGCCCGCTCCCCAGCGTGCCGGCTGCATGCCACACCCTTTTGCAAGCCACACCCTTCGGCGTCGCCGACCCTCACTGCCGCCGCCCGTGATGAAGAGAGGAAGGACGGGCCGGGGGCACCAATCATGAGGCAGAGCGCGGGGCAACGTAAAACGACGCGAAGATCGGGACAAAATCGGATCGGGATAACTCGAAATCTCTGAGAATCGGCGGGTTAGGAGGATGTATTGGGCGCCGCGGCCGCTCCAGAGCGTTCTGGAACGCTCTGAGAGCGCTCCGGAACGCTCTGGAGCGATTTATCCCGATCCTAGCCCTGTTTTACAACGAGTCGGAGTACGAATAAGAGAACGATCTGGCGAGGGTCGTCGGCCATATCCCAGGCGCGCGCGCGCGAGGCGCTCGCGCGTCGGGGGCCCCTGTGAGCAGAGGCGGGGGGGGGGGGTCAGCTTCGGCCCTGCTGTTTGCTGATGTTGTTTTTGAAGTTTGCCCGAACTTCCCCGGCGAACTTTCGGCGAGCTTAGACTTAGACAAGTGAAAAACCAAATCATTGGATGATTTTTGCAGCGGAGATCGACCGGGAACCCGGTCTTCAACCTTTTCGCCAGCTCTCTCAACTTCTGCTCGGACCCCTCCAGTGCGAGCACTGATTGGGGAATGAGCTCTGGACAAAACCATCAGGTTCAACCCATTGCCGCATGATCCACGTTGCAGTTCTGGTATCCGTTTCTACGGCCTCGCGGGCCGGGCCTTTGGGCCACGACGACCCCTCGGATACGGGGCGATTTATTGCGGATGCCGCTCGGGGCGCATCCGTGCGACCGCGCATCCACGGGATCGCGCCCCGGAGTCCAGACCGCGAGGGCGCGGATACGGATACATTCGGCGCTCGTGGCTCCCGAGGGGTAAGGCAGAGTGCGATCGAGAATTTGGTCGTCTTGGCATGTTTCTGGCTCTCTTGGAGTCTTCAGAAGTCTCCAGGGACCTCTGGTAGGGAGCCCCAGACGCTCCCTGAGACCTCCGGAGACATCTGCAGTCAGAGGAGGGCGGGGTGAGTCTTCCACATGCTCTCTGATGTTTTTGGGGCGTCCGGGTATTTTCGGTGGGCTTTGGACGGCTTCGGGATGTTCCCGAAGGTTTAGACGTTTTCGGAGGTTTTTGGAAGAGGACATTGGTTTAAGAGAGTTTTAAGTGGGCGGGCTTCTTCCTATCCTCAGTTTCATTGTCATCGCCAGCCTCCGCCCTCCTCGCCCTCCTCCTCCTCCTCCCTCTTCGGCCTTCCCTTGCCCTTCATCAAATTCCCCATCCTCTCTCCTCCTCCTCCTCCTCATCATCATCATCATCATCATCACCACCACCACCACCATCATCATAATCGTCATCAACTGCATCATCAGCAGCATCATCAGCATCATCATAATCATAATCATCCTCGGCATCGTCACCAGTCTGATGATCGTTGTCATTACTAGTATGATCAGTAGCATCAGCAGCAACAGCAACATACCATCACCATCGCCACCATCCTCCATCACATCCTACACCTCCTCTTTCCCCTCCCCGTGCTCCTCCCCATCCTCCTCGCACTCCTCACACTCCTCCCCCCATCATCGTGCGCCTCCTCCTTCTCCTCCTCCTCCTCCTCTCCTCCTCCTCCTCCCCTCCTCCTCCTCCTCCTCCTCCCCTCCCCCTCCTCCTCCTTCTCCTCCTCCTTCTCTCCTCCTCCTCCTCCCCCTCCTCCTCCTCCTGCTCCTCCTCCTCCTCCCCCCCCTCCTCCGCCTCCCCCTCCTCCCCCCCCTCCTCCCCCGCCCCCTTCCTCCTCCGCCTCCCCCCCGCAGCGGCGCCGCCGCGCGGCCGCGCCGTGGCCCGGCCGAGGCGCCGCGGGCCCCCCCATGTGTGGGGGGCCTCGGCGCACGGGCGTCCACGCGGAAGCCGGGCCTGTGCCTCCACAGGAGGAAAGTTCAAAGATAGGCAGAAAATCGTCAGGGGAGCACGACTAGCATTGCTTGATTCGTCAAAAGTGAGTAAGAAATTCAGATCGTCAACAGGTAGATAGTCAGAAAATCGTCAGATAGTCAGAACATCGTCAAAGATAGTCAGAACATAGTCTACAGAAGTTCAAGATTGTTCTAGCATGTTTTGATTCGTGTTTGAACATGCTCTGGGTGTGCCTTTTAGGAGTATGTTTCGTCCAAGATCCTCCTGTAGGGGGGCATGCCTGACCTAAGGCCTGTCCCTCCACAGGAGGAACGTTCAAAGACAGTCAGAAACTTGTCTTGGGAGGATTGTTCTAGCATGTTTTGATTCGTGTTTGAACCTGTTCTCGGTATGCTGTTTATCAAGCAGTGGCGAAACGTCCTGGCTCGCCTATAACCCCACCGAACAATGTTCTAAGAACCTTTTGTGGTTCCCACGGAATGTTATTAGAACATTTCTGGCTGGGAGTCTGTCTTGGTTTAGCACATCGAGCTAATGTTCTAAGAGCATTGCTTTTGTTATTAGACCATTTTGGGGTTCTAAGAACATTTCGTGGTAGGACTATAGGAATGCCGGGGCGGTCGGTCCCTCTGCTCAAAAGGTGCATACTCCTGCCAGCTGTTCTGTCTCCGGTCTGGCAGTCGCACGTCCCGGACCACTGTCGGGGCCATCGGAGTGCAGTCAGACACACAGACACAAGCCATCGTCGATTCCCAAGAAAATATAGGAAGATATGAAAAGTGGGGCGGAAGACAAGAACCCAGGACATGTGGGAAAAGATGGGGGGGGAATCCTGTCAGTTGTGTCTATTCATTTGTGTGTCCTGGGGCCCCTTCAGAAGTCCGCGCGGACCTCCGAAGGTGCATGCTTCTGCCAGTTGTTCTGACACTGCTCTGGCATGCTCACGTCCCGGACCACCTGGCGGGGCCGTCGGAGCACAGCGGAGGCCCCTGCCAAGACGCACCCTGCTGGCCTCCAGGGTGCCCTGGGCGTCTTGGGTTTCGATGGTTCTGCTGTGGAAGGCGTGGCGTTCCCACGCCAAAAAATCAGTGGATGTCCTGGGGTCTCGGGGTTGGGTCTCTAGTGGAAGGTTTCTGGTGGACCGGCCTCCACCGTGTCACCATGCCGGCCCTCCCAGGTGCTGAAGCCGTGAGAGCCTGTCGGGCCTTTGCGTTTCCATCGTGCGCTTGCCGTAGGGAAACTGAGCAGCCGTCTTGACTCAGGAGGACTGGGGGCTTGGAATGGGAGGGCGTACGGTGGCATCACTGAAGTGTGTTGGGTTTACGCGGGGCCTCCTCGCGCCCCTCCTTGGCCACTTTGGCGCTAGGGTCACGCATACGCCTTGTTCCACATCAGATCTGCACCGAGAACATCGCGACCTCCGCGCACCTCTTCGGCGAGCTCTGCAGCCAGCCGAAGAAGAAGCAACTGCATACACATTCACTTTCGGTGCTCCGCGCGCCGATTTCTTGAATCGGCGCTGGGCACCCCTTGGCGGCGCCTCCAGCGCCACCACACGCGCGCTCCGCGCGCCAGGGAGGGGGGCCCGGACGCAGATCTAAGAAGTCCGCGCGGACCTCCGAAGGGTTGTGTTCATGCCGCTGTTGCCCCTTCTGGACATGCCTGGGCACCTGGCCGAGCACTAATCCGGCTTAATTCTGCGGCGCAATTGGGGCGAATCCGGCTGAGTGGCCCCTGCATCTGGCTCAGCAGTCCTTCTCGTCGTCTTGGCGAAGGCTTCCTGGGAGGTGCCTCCTGACCTCCTGCCCCCGCCCGCTCCCCTCTCCTCCGTGCCGTGCCCGTTCCTGCAACCCTAGAGAGATGCGACGTCCTGATTTTTTCAGGACGGCGTCCCTGGAAGTCCCGACTCTTTCCCCGGGACCGGTTGTTCACCCCGAATCGTTGTTTGGACGGCCCCGCGAGGCCCGGCGAGGGCCCCCCCGGGGCCGAACATAGCCCAAAACCTACCGTCCGGACGTTTTTCTCGACGCGATCCTGTCTGGGACCCCTCCCCCCCCCCTCTGGGACCCCTCCCCCCCGTCCGCCCCACCCCGCCCCCCCCCCTCGGGGCATCCTTCGGGAGGCGGGGGGGTCGGCCGCAGCCGCGTGCGCGCGTGCGCGGCGGGCTCGACCCGACGCGCGTCGTGGAGCGGTGGTGCCAGCACGAGGAGGAGGAGGAGGAGGAGAAGGAGGAGGAGGAGGAGGAGGAGGAGGAGGACGAGGACGAGGAGGAGGAGGAGGAGGAGGAGGAGGAGGAGGAGGAGACGGGGGGGGGGGGGGGGGGGCGCCCCTCGAGGGCGCCGCCCGCCGCCCCCTGCCCTGCGCGCCGGCCCCGCGGGCCCGCCGGGGCGGAGACGCGCGCGCGGCGGCGGGGCGTGCGCGCCCCTCGGGCGTGTGTCGCCCGCCGGGAGGGGCCCTCCTCCCCTCCCCTCCGCCCCTGCCCGTCCCCTTCCCCTCTCTCGCTCCCCTCCTCTCCTCCTCCCCTCCACTCTCGCTCCCCTCCTCTCGCTCCCC